GGAGGGAGTGGGGGGCGAGAGGGGAGAGTCCCTGGCAATGGTAGCGGGGGGGGGGGGCCCCTATGGATACGTGCGAGAAAAATCGAGGATACGATCCCTGCGAGGTGTGAGAGTGAAATCGCGCAACCTCCTCAAATCCACCGTTTGCCGTTGTTTTTTTTCCTCGTGGGGAAATTGCCGTGGACGCAACACGATGGGTTTCTTTTTGAGATGCGCGCTTTTCCAGGAAGGCATCTTATCATCGCGTGTGTCCAGGAGTTCCTCGGGGAGCGCTACGCTGCGCTACGAACCCTGGCGGCCCGGGTTCGATTCCCGCTCACGGCCACCACCACCCAGTGACGATGATCTGAACCGGTCCTGGGCCTCCCCTAGGTCGTCTCGGCCTCAAATGAGTACCCGGTGCGGTGCGTGTGTGGTAAACATCGCTACTGGGGAGACAAAGGCGGAGTGGTGCTGGCCACTCACCCCCCCCCCCCTCTAGTGCCGTGCCAGTCTTCATAGGTGCTCACTAACAGCACTTGCCCCAAGCTTCTGTTACAGGCTATACGGGGGATCTATGTCTTTGTTTTGGAATAGCGGTGGTGTCGCGCTTCGCGCTGCGCTACGAACCCTGGCGGCCGGGGTTCGATTCCCGCTCACTGCCACCATCACCCAGTGACGATTATCTGAACCGGTCCTGGGCCTCCCGTAGGTCGTCTCGGCCTCAAATGAGTACCTGGTGCGGTGTGTAAACATCGCCACTAGGGAGACAAAGGCGGCCGGGCGTGGTGTTGTCCACCCACCATCTCGTGTCCCTTCATAGGTACTCGCTGAACAGCGCTTGCCCCAACAGTCTGCTAAGGATATACGGGGGATCTTTGTCTTTTTTTGTAATAATAATAATCTGCGGTAGAATCTCGATATTTATCCGCGTGTGGTTTGTCTTATGTGCGGATTAACTGCGCACCTGAGATGTTTTTTTAATTGATTATAACTCCCGAATTTTCCCTGAAGCCCACAGTAACAATCTGGCTGTCGCCTGATGAAGCTAGTTGTAATTGTTGTCTAACTCAGATTGTAAATGTTGTGGCATTGCTCTCCAAAACACAACCGGTGTGCTGAACTAGTATACGACACTATACACGACGCTATAATTGTAATTGTTGTGGTTTTACTCTCCAACGCAACCGGTGTTGCTGTACTAGTAACGAATTGGCACATTCTGTTTACGTGACAAACCTTTCTAATTTGCTGTGTCGGGTGGTGGCGGGTTTAATGACATTTTTATATATTTACGTGATCTAACCCAAAAAACCTGTATTATCGCTAAATAATTATTATTCTTGGAAATGTTTATTACGAGTCAGTGCTTCAACCGATCAAATAGCCTTGCAGCCGGATAATCCAAGAGTCCATGCGATCGCCTCTACAGTACAGTAGTTGCAATAGCTTTACACAACGGTGGGTGGCGGAGTTTGATTGACGTTGATTGGCTGTGGCTCTGGTGTCATCCGTTCAGTGGGCCGCAGTCTTCTGCTGGGCGGGAGCCAGGGAAGTGTTACCATCGCCGAGGACGCGCATCGATCGGTCGGTCCATCATTAGCGCTCGTTCTATATCGAAAGAGTAGCAATCGAAATCGTCAGTTGTGCTTTACTTTATTATGTTATTTTTTTATCTACAAAGCTGTGCGATCAGAACATTATATTATTTACGTCATGGGACCTCCTTTGCCAGTAAAAAAATATGATGATAGGTTAAATTTCGATTTAAAGCTTTCGTGACTGCACGGATTCATCTTCTTGGTTCTTTCGGTAAAGTCACGTAGAAGGGAAATAATAAAATAATACAAATAAAACAATAAAATAATTATCACGACGTTTCGGCCACAACGCAAGCAGCCGTCCTCAGGTTCTTCACCTGAAGACGGCTGCTTGCGTCGTGGCCGAAACGTCGCGAGAATTATTTTATTATGTTTTATTTTTATTATTTTATTATTTCCCTTCTATTTTTATTATTTTATTATTTCCCTTCTACGTGACTTTACCGAAAGAACCAAGAAGATGACTCCCTGCAGTCACGAAAGAAGCTTTAAATCGAAACAAAACAGGTGTTAAGGTGTTGCCAGAAAAAATGGGGAAATACCTATCATCATATTTTGGTACTGGCAAAGGAGGAGGTCCCAAGATGTAAATAGCATCTGACAGCACCACCATGAGGTGACTACCACCGCCTTTGTTCGACGGTTGCTGCTGCTGCGAGAATGAGAGGAGTCGGCATGGCGATGGTTTATAGCTTCCTTGACGAGCTCGGCAGCGAGGTGTCGCGTGGTGGTTCCATTTTGTGGCGAGCGTTCTGTGTGTGGCGGGCGCCACCCATATACAAGATTCTTGTCTTGGACTAACTCACGGCCGACGCGGAGGGTGGGGGAGGGGTGCGTGACGTCAGCAGGCACACTGCGTGACGTCAGCAGGCACACTGCGTGACGTCAGCAGGCATACTGCGTGACGTCAGCAGGCATACTGCGTGACGTCAGCAGGCACACTGCGTGACGTCAGCAGGCACACTGCGTGACGTCACCAGGCACACTGCGTGACGCTGCTGCGTGCTGGTGACATCACAGATGTGACGTCACCCACCGCTCACTTGCCGTGCAAAATATATCCATTATTGAGCCCCCCACCCCCCCCCCCCAAATAAAAAAGTCTATTTTTATACTTTTTGCATTGTGTGCAGTCTGGAAGCTACCCACATGCCAAGTTTGTTGCATGTTGGGAAGTATGCTAAACATTTCGAACAGACACACACATTCACAAATCCCCTTTTTTTTACACTCTTTTTTATTCACTCACTGTTGTTTTTGTTTCCTTAAATCTTGTAACTACATTTTTACCCACTTCCCAATGTGGTATATACTGCAAACTTGGTATACTTATATCATACTGATGACAATACTATGAAATAAAAACATCTCTATTGGTCTCTGTGTAACTCTATGGGTCTCTATGTAACTCTATGGCTCTCTGTGTAACTCTATGGCTCTCTGTGTAACTCTATGGCTCTCTGTGTAACTCTATGGGTCTCTGTGTAACTCTATGGGTCTCTGTGTAACTCTATGGGTCTCTGTGTAACTCTATGGGTCCCTATGTAACTCTATGGGTCTCTGTGTAACTCTATGGGTCTCTGTGTAACTCTATGGGTCTCTGTGTAACTCTATGGGTCTCTGTGTAACTCTATGGGTCTCTATGTAACTCTATGGGTCTCTGTGTAACTCTATGGCTCTCTGTGTAACTCTATGGGTCTCTGTGTAACTCTATGGGTCTCTATGTAACTCTCTATGTGACTCTATGGGTCTCTGTGTAACTCTATGGGTCTCTGTGTAACTCTATGGGTCTCTGTGTAACTCTATGGGTCTCTGTGTAACTCTATGGGTCTCTGTGTAACTCTATGGGTCTCTATGGGTCTCTATGGGTCTCTGTGTAACGCTATGGCTCTCTGTGTTTGCAGTGCTACGCTCAGTGATTGAACTTTGCCCTCCGCGCTCCAACCGGGCTTGCTTCACAGCCCTTAAAATCATATTGCCCCATAAACGACGTTGGTTCTGCTCCTACTACCCCCTACTGCGCATTCACAACACCCTAATGGGTCCACCCTGTACCACATCCCAGCGGTCCCCAACGTTTTCGGCACCAGGGACCGGTTTCGTGGAAGACAATTTTTTCACGGACCGGGGGGTGGGGGGGTCATCATTTGGTCTTTCCCCCTTTTCAAAGAAGCTCTCCAGCCACGTTTGTGTTTGACTCATTGTGGCTACTCGGGGTTAGAGCTTGTGGGCTCACCAACACTGTGACTGCTGAGACACGTGTGCGGTGCGGGAGAGAGGCGTGGATGGAAGTGGTCAATAACACTGGTCAACAAAAAGCTGGGAGTAGCCGGAGAGAACGACGCATCGTGTGAGTGGCGAGGGAGGAGGGGGAAACGCTCGATCCCCGTACGGATTGGGGATCATGCAACTTGCTGAACTGCCTTCATCTCACCTGGCTACGAGCCGGATGAGATGGTGACCTCGGGCCCGTGATCTTCACTCATTTCACGTTTCGCCGATTACACTGGTCAACAAAAAAAAACATTATTCTGGCCTGGACTTTTGCAGCTGTTCTAGACTAATTTCAGAGTGCTGATTCCAAATCTGATCTCAGATTTGCTCTGTCACATCTCATTTTATGCTATCGGCATACCCCATTTTCATTGATTTTACCCGAAATTAACTCTGTCACTCATGATTGCAAGTTGTTGCGAGTCAGTGACTGCTTTAGTGTTAAAATATGGTGCTGTTTCGATTTAAAGCTTTCGTGACTGCAGGGATTCATCTTCTTGGTTCTTTCGGTAAAGTCACGTAGAAGGGAAGTAATAAAATAATAAAAATAAAACATAATAAAATAATTCTCACGACGTTTCGGCCACAACGCAAGCAGCCGTCCTCAGGTGAAAACCAGGTCTGTCGGGGAGACAGCGTCTGAATGATTCAGCTGTTCTCCCCGACAGACCTGGTTTTCACCTGAGGACGGCTGCTTGCGTTGTGGCTGAAACGTCGTGATAATTATTTTATTATGTTTTATTTTTATTATTTTATTACTTCCCTTCTACGTGACTTTACCGAAAGAACCAAGAAGATATGGTGCTGTATTTTTAGGTTAGTGTGTTTATAATATCATGTAATGTAGATATCCACATTTATTTAATATTCTTCTTCCACAGTTTTTATTGAAAATGCAATATTTGATATCTCAAAAACCTAATGTGATGGACAAAAACTTATGCCAGATTTGGAATCGGCACCCCAAAATTACCTTAAAACCGTTGGAATACCTGATGCCAGAACAAGTGTGTTGACCAGTGTTATAAAACAATGGGGGCTGGCAACACGTGTGGACTCACCGCTCACCACTATGCGGTGTGTAGAGTGTGTACACACATGCGGACTCACCGCTCTCTCCTGCTGCTGTGCGGACCGGTTCCTAACAGGCCACGGACCGGTAGCGGTCCATGGCCCGGGGGTTGGGGACCCCTGCCCTATCCGATCCTATATCCTCTGCTGCTGATGATGATGATGATGTTGTTGATGATGTTGTTGCTGATGATGATGATGATGCTGCTGATGCTGCTGATGATACTGCTGCTGATGCTGCTGATGCTGGTGATGATGCTGCTGATATGACTGCTGATGTTGTTGCTGCTGCTGATACTACTGCTGCTGATGATAATGATGCTGCTGATACTGCTGATGCCGCTGATGATAATGATGCTGCTGATACTGCTGATGCCGCTGATGCCGCTGATGATGCTGCTGCTGCTGTTGCTGTTGATGATGCTGCTGATTATACTGCTGCTGATACTGGTGATTATGCTGCTGATGATGTTGCTGCTGCTGCTGCTGCTGATGATGATGATGATAATGCTACTGATACTGATGATGCTGCTGCTGATGATGCTGCTGATACTGATACTGATGATGCTGTTGATGACTGACACGGATGCTCGTCTGTTGTCCCACCCTACCAGGTGACGCGCACACGCGCGCACACACACGAGAGCACGTGCGTGGTGCCAGTGGGGACGTAGCCGGCCACCGCCACCTCCTCCTCCTGCTGCTCCTCCTGCTGCTGCTGCTGCCAGAGCGAGCGCCATGGGGAAGGAGACGAGGAGAGACAACGGGAGGCCGACGAGCAGCAGCAACGACGGCGACGATGAGGTGAGCCGGAGAGACGGGGAGGGGGGGGGGGGACGTGGGGGGGGGCTTCCTCTCTCCATGACACCGGCGACCTACGACCCCTGCAATGGACAAGGGGTCACCACCACTTTGGGGCACCGCGGTGGCTATGAGATGTTAACGACCTCGCCTGGTACACAGGAGGTCGTGGGTTCGATCCCGACCCTGATGATGTATGCTGCTGTATATTTGGAGTTTGCGTGTCTCTCTCTCATCATCATCAGGGTGGCTAGGAGATGTTTTTGGGGGGGTTAGATCGCGTGAATATAAATGTGTCGTTACACCCGTAGATGCCACCGTTTCTTCACGTTCTGCAGATGTAGATGCCACTGAATCAGAATCAGAAACGGTTTTAATCGCCATGTAAGTTTGCACAGACAAGGAATTCACTTTGGCGGGACGGTGCCTACATTGAACAAGTAGGAATCTTTACTTATATAAAAGGTATACACTCTAACTATACTAACGTTACAAAGTATAAGTAATACCAAAGGGCTAAAATCTTTAAAATTATCAATAAGTAGACCTTATAAAATGCGAAATGTAAAATGTTAATTAGCCGTATTAAACAATCTTAAAATACAAATAAGATTACACGTCGTAAGTATGGAAAGGTGTAAAAGATAAAATGTTATAGTAAGTGTAACAGTCATTTTAAGCCCTTGGCCTTGTTGAGGAGGCCAACAGCGGATGGGAAAAACTGTTTTTATGACGTGAGGTTTTGGTCTTGATGGACCGCAGCCTTCTGCCAGAGGGGAGTAGCTGGAACAGAGAGTATCCAGGGTGAGAGGAATCGTCCGCAATCTTCCTCGCTCGCTTCAGGGTCCTCAAAGTGTGCAGGTCCTCAAGGGTTGGTAGATTACAGCCAATCACCTGCTCAGCAGTGCGGATGATACGCTGCAGTCTGCTCTTGTCCTTGGCAGTGGCAGCAGCGTACCAGACGGTGATGGAGGAGGTGAGGATGGACTCAATGATGGCTGTATAGAAGCACACCATCATTGTCTTTGGCAGATTACATTTCTTCAGCTGCCGTAGGAAGTACATTCTCTGTTGAGCTCTCTTGATAAGGGAGCTGATGTTCTGTTCCCACTTGAGGTCCTGGGAAAGAATAGTGCCCAGGAAGCGGAAGGACTCAACATTGGTGACTGGGGAGTCGCACAGGGTGATGGGGGTGAGTGGGGCTGTATTCTTCCTTAAGTCCACAACCATCTCCACGGTCTTAAGAGCATTAAGCTCCAGGTTGTTCTGGCTACACCAGGTCACCAGGTTGTCAGCTTCCCTCCTATAGTCAGACTCATCCCCATCAGAGATTAGCCCAATGAGGGTGGTGTCGTTTCTTCACATTCTTGCAGATGTAGATGCCACTGGTTCTTCACGTTCTGCAGATGTAGATGCCACTGGTTCTTCACGTTCTGCAGATGTAGATGCCACTATTTCTTCACGTTCTGCAGATGTAGATGCCACTATTTCTTCACATTCTTGCAGATGTAGATGCCACTGGTTCTTCACATTCTGCTGATGTAGATGCCACTGGCTCTTCACGTTCTGCAGATGTAGATGCCACTGGTTCTTCACGTTTTGCAAATATAGATGCCACTGGTTCTTCACATTCTGCAGATATAGATGCCACTATTTCTTCACATTCTTGCAGATGTAGATGCCACTGGTTCTTCACATTCTGCAGATGTAGATGCCACTGGTTCTTCACGTTTTTCAAATATAGATGCCACTGGTTTCTCACGTTCTGCAGATGTAGATGCCACTGGTTTTTCACATTCTTGCATATGTAGATGCCACTGGTTCTTCACGTTATGCAGATGTAGATGCCACTGGCTCTTCACGTTCTGCTGATGTAGATGCCACTGGTTCTTAATGTTCTGCTCATGTAGATGCCACTGGTTCTTCAGGTTCTGCAGATGTAGATGCCACTGGTTCTTCATGTTCTGCAGATGTAGATGCCACTGGTTCTTCATGTTCTGCAGATGTAGATGCCACTGGTTCTTCATGTTCTGTAGATGTAGATGCCACTGGTTCTTCACATTCTGCTGATGTAGATGCCACTGGCTCTTCACGTTCTGCTGATGTAGATGCCACTGGTTCTTCATGTTCTGCAGATGTAGATGCCACTGGTTCTTCATGTTCTGCAGATGTAGATGCCACTGGTTCTTCAAGTTCTGCTGATGTAGATGCCACTGGCTCTTCACGTTCTGCTGATGTAGATGCCACTGGTTCTTCATGTTCTGCAGATGTAGATGCCACTGGTTCTTCATGTTCTGCAGATGTAGATGCCACTGGTTCTTCATGTTCTGCTGATGTAGATACCACTGGTTCTTCACGTTCTGCAGATGTAGATGCCACTGGTTCTTCACGTTCTGCAGATGTAGATGCCACTGGTTCTTCACGTTCTGCAGATGTAGATGCCACTGGTTCTTCACGTTCTGCAGATGTAGATGCCACTGGTTCTTCATGTTCTGCAGATGTAGATGCCACTGGTTTTTAACATTCTGCAGATGTAGATGCCACTGGTTCTTCACGTTCTGCAGACGTAGATGCCACTGGTTCTTCACGTTCTGCAGATGTTGATGCCACTAGTTCTTCACGTTCTGCAGATGTAGATGCCACTGGTTCTTCACGTTCTGCAGATGTAGATGCCACTGGTTCTTCACGTTCTGCAGATGTTGATGCCACTAGTTCTTCATGTTCTGCTGATGTAGATGCCACTGGTTCTTAACATTCTGCAGATGTAGATGCCACTGGTTCTTCACGTTCTGCAGACGTAGATGCCACTGGTTCTTCACGTTCTGCAGATGTTGATGCCACTAGTTCTTCACGTTCTGCAGATGTAGATGCCACTGGTTCTTCACGTTCTGCAGATGTAGATGCCACTGGTTCTTCACGTTCTGCAGATGTTGATGCCACTAGTTCTTCATGTTCTGCTGATGTAGATGCCACCACCGCCATGGATTGTGCGGAGGTTGAACTTATGACTCACGGCCCGAACAGGCAACCCGACATACGGATCGGGTTTGTTCGTTTTCTCTGAAAGTTTGTACGTCGAATGTTCGTAAGTGCAGGAATCCCCTTGTGTGTCGTTCTCCCTCCCGACGGCTCTACTCCAGTCCATGGCTGTGGGTTTCTCCTCCAATCGGGACGTGAACTGGCTCAGGTTCCACTAAACTCTTTCAACTACCATGGGTAGCCAACCATGGCTCATCGGAGGTGCGGGGGGACAGGACGGGCAACAAACTAAACACACAAAGCTGTTCTAAAGATGAGTCGGACTCGCTTTGTGTGTGGATGGATGTTGAACTTATTTTGCACCATATGCGGCCAACCATGCTAATCGGAGGTCGTGTGTAGTATATTAGTGTACAGTGTCGTGTATAGTAGTGTGTAGTGTACAGTAGTGTACAGTGTCGTGTATAGTAGTGTGTCGTGTACAGTAGTGTACAGTGTCGTGTACAGTAGTGTATAGTGTACAGTGTCGTGTATAGTAGTGTATAGTGTACAGTAGTGTACAGTGTCGTGTATAGTAGTGTATTGTAGTGTATAGTGTAGTGTATAGTGTAGTGTATAGTAGTGTACAGTAGTGTATAGTGTAGTGTAGTGTATAGTAGTGTAGTGTATAGTGTAGTGAATAGTAGTGTATAGTTTACAGTAGTGTATAGTGTCGTGTATATTAGTGTATAGTGTCGTGTATATTAGTGTATAGTGTAGTGTATAGTGTCGTGTATAGTAGTGTATAGTGTAGTGTATAGTAGTGTAGTGTATAGTAGTGTATAGTAGTAGTGTAGTGTGTAATGTATAGTGTAGTGTATAGTGTAGTGTATAGTAGTGTAGTGTATAGTGTAGTGTCTAGTAGTGTATAGTAGTATAGTGTAGTGTTTAGTGGAGTGTACGTATGAAATCCATTCGCTCCGTAGTAGCCTACCGTGTTAATCGCTGGTGCTAATATTGGGGGGGGCACGGGCAGCGGCTCAGGCTGGCGGCTTCCTCGCCGTCGTATCCGGCTGGACGAACTCGCGGCTCGTGAACTTTGGGCGTTGGGTGAAGAATCGCTGGCAGCAAACCGGTTGACCCGGCTCACCCGACACACACACACAATGTTTAGTTGTCGTCTTCGGTTCTTTTTTTTTCCCCCCGTCGACAGATTTTTTTTTCGTGCCCTTGGCTGTGAATTTATCTATGTATCTAAAAAACTAAATTACCCCCCCCCCCCCCCATTTTCTTGGTTCTTTCGGTAAAGTGACTTTACCGAAAGAACCAAGAAGATGAATC